CCGCCGGAATGGTCACCGGAATTAGAGTAGTCGCCGGAGAAATCACTGGAATCGGAAAGTCGCCGAAACGGTCGTCGGAAAGTTCGTCGGAGTAGGGTGGTGATAGGAACGGTCGCCGGAGCGGTAGGGGTGGTGAAGGTAGGATGAGTTAATTATATTGTATTATAAATAAATATTTAATAATAAATTAATTTAATAATTTATTATTTCATAAAAAAAAATTTAAAAATTTTTAATATAAATCTGATTTTGGAAATTTCAAACTTGTTTTCTCATTTTTGAAATATGCTAAACTTATTCTCTTGAATATGTAATCTTCCCTTCTTTTATCTCAGAGCCGGTTTTAGGCCGAGGCAAGTGAGACCCATGCCTAAGGCCCAAAAATTTAAGGTCCTCAGATTTTTTTTTTTTTTTTTTTTAATACCTCATTCCTATTTGGCTATTTCCTACTTGTCTTCCTCAATTCCTCTGTGCCACCGTTCCGGTGCGTGCGGGAAGAACGAGAAAGGTGAAACGCCGAAACCCAAGTCATATCCTCAAGGTATTTTCTATTGTTTTTGTTTCTATTTGCCTTATTTTTGTTCTGCGTTTTATATTTAATTTTGAGATCAATATGCAACTTCAAGGATCTAAAATATGCAAATTTCTGCAAAACCAAATACCATAAGTTTGCTTGTGGGTGTAATTTTGTCTAGTTTGAGTTGTAATTTTAGATATCTCGAATCTGTTATACTAGAGTCTGAGAGGAGGTAATAGGAGATTGAGAGGTGTTTGGATTATTTATTCTTATTAGAGAGCTGAAATGGTTTATTCACATTTCCCTAAATTTTAAGATACAAGCAGAAAATAAAAATAAAAATAATTTGAATATGATTGCACAAGTCTACGATTTTGATTTCAGGCTTGTGAGATGCGATAGTGGAATTCTAAAGGGTGTGAATTGTGATTTCATAATAGTCGTCGATTTTCTACTTCTCAAGTGAGCAATGACTTGCCCTAACTTGATATTGAATATATTGAAAATATTTAAATGTCGGTTTATATAATTGTAGCATGGTCAGCTTATATGAACGTTTATTGTAGCGTGTATGATCAATTGCACAGGTGCACATAATCACTGTATTGAATGCTATAATTGTGAAATGATTCAAATATTTTGTAATTATCTTTTAGGCTAATCATTGGGTATTAGATATAGACTCATTCACCATGCCTCCTAAATATGAGTCTGGAGCTACGAAGATGAAAAGGAAACGAAATGAATTTTTGTTGACTCAAAGTCAAGCATGCGATATGCACAAGTACTTTAAAAGCAACAATTTGAATGCGTTGAATGAGGGTATGGTAGTGATTCTACCTGTTCGTGTTAATGAAATAGATGACAAGAAAGAAGACATGATGAAACCTTCTTGTGTCGATGAAGTAGATGACAAGGAAGAAGAAATGATGAAACCTGTCTATGTGAATAGAGTGGATGATAAGGAAGAATAAATGATGAAACATGTCCGTGTGAATGAAATGGGTGATAAGGAATATGAGGGCCACTTTTCTTTAAATTTGGATGATCCTGGGATTGGAAAAATGTTGATCAAAGAATGAGGGATTATTTAGTTGAAATGAGTCCAAAAAGAGTTGATGGCATCGTGTTTCCCAAAGATTGTGCAAAGAGACATTTCTATTTTTCACAATACAAGCAATTACTACCAAATGGGCAAACAATTGATAGAAGATGCCTAGTGTATTCAGTATCTACGGATATGATCTTCTGCTTTTGTTGCAGATTGTTTAAAACACCAAAAAATGTCATCAAAGTTGGCCAACTGGGTAATGATGGATTCAAATATTGGCATAATTTGCATCGATCTATTAAAAGTCATGAGAGGAATGAGGAGCATTTACGTTGCACGACTAGTTGGATTGAATTAGAAAATAAGATTCAAACGAAAACTACAATTGACAAAAGTGTTCAATTGGTGATAGATGTAGAAAAAGAACATTGTAGATGTGTATTAACGAGGTTAATCGCTATTGTGAAAAGACTCGCCAAATACACCTTGCATTTCGATGAGATGATGAGAGGCTAGATGTTGAGAACAATGGCCTATTTTTACAAATGGTGGAAATGGTTAGTAAGTTTGATCCAATAATGCAAGAGCACATTTGATGGCTAAAGCACGCGAAATTCAGTATACATATCTTGGGAAAGAAATTCAAAATGAGTTGAAACAGTTATTTGGCAGAAAGTAACGAAGAGCCTACAATGAAGAGTGAAGCCGAGTCGTTAGCAACAAATGAACTTGAAAATTTTGAGTTCTTGCTTGGTATGATTATCTGGTACAAGTTGTTGCATGCAGTCAATAGTGTGAGTAAATTTCTTCAAACTGAAAATATGGATTTTGATCATGCTATCGACCTCTTGCAAGGGCTTGTTTCATTTCTAGAAGAATATAGAGAAA